CCAACTGCTGGTGTTCTGAAACGTGGCGCTTCATCCAAATATAAATTGAATTTTTAAGTGATTATAATAATTTCTTTTTGTAAATTTCGTATACGAAAACGTAAAAATGCTGAAGAAAATTTGGTAACATAATGACATCTGGAACATGCCAATATAATTCAGAATACACGTGAAAACGAAGGAATATCAAAGACCTTACTATAATAATAAAAAAAGTATTTTACTGTAATGATAAAAAAAAAATCAAAACACGTTTTTACTAGTGAATTCATGGCTATAAGATAGGAAAAAAATATAAATAACATATGAATGCCCTATTAAATGAATATTATGAATGCCTATTAAATGAATATTAAGAATGCCTATTAAATGAATATTATGAAAGCCTATTAAATGAATATTATGAATGCTTATTAAAAGAATATTATGAATGTCTATTAAATGAATATTATGAATGATTATTAAAAGAATATTATGAATGCCTATTAAATGAATATTATGAATGCCTATTAAATGAATATTATGAATGGCTATTAAATAAATGAATATTATGAATGCCCTATTAAATGAATATTATGAATGCCTATTAAATGAATATTATGAATATGCCTATTAAATGAATATTATGAATGCCTGTTAAATGAATATTATGAATGCTCTATTAAATAAATATTATGAATGCCTATTAAATGAATATTATGAATGACTATAAATCAGAAAGTAATTTTCTTTTGTCAAAAATCTGGAAATGAATGCGAAAATCCTAAATCTATGAGGCGCTAATATCAGTAAATTTGAACTTTAATCACATTTATAATATATTTTAATTTTTTTATTGAATGTTTTTTTTCCCTTTCTTTGATATTCATTTTTTTAAAAATTTTCTTTTCACACTGTTTGCAAAGCCTATTATGATTTTTGATTTGACCTCCAGATTTTTGACAAAAAGAACAATTATTTTCTACTTTTTATATATAAACAGGATTTTATCACTTAATTTTTATTATTTTCTACTTTTTAATCTTTAATATATTTGATAATTCATTATTAAAAATATAACTATATCTTGCAATCTTTACCATATATATATATATATATATATATATATACTATAATTGTATCGCTTAATCACTACCATACGGCCCGTCTCATATAGATCAAAACTGAATGAAAATTAGGCGATGAATTGGCAATTAAGTTCTAAAAATATTAAAATATTGTACTATTATTGGAAACACAGAACTGTACTTAATCTCAGAAAATTAACACATCAGGAAGCGGGTGAAAATTCGATTACAAAATTCCATCTTCACGAACAGGAAGCAAATCGAATTAAACAAAAACTTGCAGAAAGCGTAAATCTAAGCGTCTGGAAATTCCCATATATGGAGCAATTAGAGCTACAAAAATTTTATAAACATTTGCCAACCGCGTTTAGAAATACTCGTAAATTAACATCCGAAATTACTTTCATCTTTGGGAATATTTTGAGGTTTCAGCAGTTATTTATTTACGATCATGAAAGGAAATAAATATCCTATAAAATTCATGATCACTCACGTTTACGCTATGGCAGTTTTTAAAATAAATAACTTCGAACCGGATTTACATCACAATATGAGAGTACTGAGTATAGCTGTCATGTTTCAGTAAGCGAACATTAATTTTTTCACAGTAGCACTTTCAACTGTCATATATACACTGTGATCGTCAAGAAACCTCGATTTGACCTCTGGATTTTGATGAACCTCCGCGTTTCAGATTTTCCCGAGTCGGAAAAAGCAGTTTTATATAATAAGGTTATAAGAAGCAACACCTACAGTAAATCGCATCACACGACAAGCTTGGTGCAAAAAGTTTTCAGATTGCTCTACAGAACAGTTCCTTCGTGGGTAGTAGATGCTCACTAAGCAGTGGCGAATCCAGGATTTGGGTCTGGGGGTGGCTGAGGTATAAAAAGTTTTGTATCGTCGTGACGAATGTCAAATTTTATTGCTAATGTAAACCAAAACTCTTTAACTTTACAGACTTTACTCACCTGATAATAAGAATCATAAAAAACAATACAATACTTTCGATAATTTAATAAAAATTACAATGAAATAACTAGCCAAAAAATGCCTTCGACCATTCCAAAGCTACAAGTACAAGTGGAATGACTACGAAAGTAGGAAAATTTTCGAGCCAGTCAAGCCAGAAAGTAATGTTGAAACGATTTTATTATTTTTTTAAAAGAGATAAATTAAGAAAAAACAGGTTGTAATGATGTTAAATAAAATCAAGAATTCTGGTTTGGCTCTGGGGGGGCTGTAGCCCGATAGCCCCCCCCCCCTGGATTCGCCACTGCTCACCTGACAATAAGAATCGTAAAGAACGCTATAATACTTTCGATAATTTAACAAAAAACACATTGAAATAGCTAGCAAAAGAATGTTTTTGACCGTGTCAACGCTGCGAATACGAGTGGGATGACTACAAAAGTGGGAAAACTTTTGAGCCTATCGAAAGCCAGGAATAAATGTTGTGACTTTTTTTATTGGAAGATTAAGAAAAAACAGCTGTAGTGATTTTAAATAAAATAAAGA